GTTAGCAGGTCTTTTTCATGTTCAGCGATAATGGCTATCTTCCATAACGAATATTATTCCATTTATGTTGAACTCTTCTGTATAGTTTTTAAGTGGTTGTTAAAATAAGTGTTTGTCTCACTCCTCTACTTATCTGTTAGCCATCTGTGCTATTTTCTGCTTCAAAACTAAAAGGTAATATCTTAGATAGATAGGGTAATTAGGTAATATGAAACATGAAAAGAAAAAAATACCACAAATGGCTTACGGCGAAAAATGGAACGCTCACGATCTAAAGAGAGATAAAAAATCAGTGAAGAATATATGGGAGACATTTTAGTTAACTACTGAATGGACAAAATACAGATGAGAACGAAAATTTTCTTATAGAAAATGATGGCATAATAATAGAACTGCCTAGTGAAGGAGAGATTAAAAGTATAATCAGTGGGCTCAAAAGTAACAAAAGATCGGGAGAAAACGAAATATCTACGGAAATGCTAAATAATGAGGGGAAATAACTATAAAAAAAGAATGTATAGCCTTATCAAGAGGATATGAAAAGATGAAAAATTTACCAAAGATTGGACCAAAGCTTCACTAAGACCCTTATATAAATGGCATGTAAAATTATAGAACTATTGCTCTGTTGGATACTTGTAATAAGATAGCCAGGATGCTAAGAAAGAGACTCAACAAATTTGCTGAAGATAAACTAGATGAGAATCAGGCCGGTTTAAGAGTTGATATATTAGTACCACAACAGATTTTTACATCAAAAATTCATCGAAATTCAGACTACCTGTTATAAGCATAAAGTAATCAGTTATCTACGCTGCTGCTTTTAAATTTGGTATTGGAGAAAATAATCAGAAATAGAGTTAAAATGACCGGATCTTACTATTCTAGCGAAAACAAGAATAGAATTAAGAAATCTTATAAACAATTATAAAGGCTAAATATTTTAACTTAGAAATATACCAGAAAAAGCCAAAATATGTGATACTCGGATATACAGAGCAAAAAAGAAGAAGGACAGTTTACTTTCAAGGGTAATGAATCAAGGAAATATATTCGAGAGAAAGGTCCATTCTACGTATCTGGGGCTAATTATAGAAAAGAAAGGTGAAGAAGAATTGGAACTGAATGCCAGATTGGCAAAGTGAAACAAAAAGATGAAAAGCCTAAGATCACAGATGAAATCAAAATATGTATCGAGAAAAATAAAGTTAAGGATATATAAAATGTTAATAAGGCCCTCAGTGACATAGGGTAGTGAAGTATGGATAATGAAAAAAGCAAATACGGAGAAATTGGCAAGATGGGAAAGGAAAATGCTATAGCTATATGTAGGGGCAAAATACGGTGGAAGGTTGGGTGAGACGAACAAACATGAACCTAAAGAAACTGTATACTGAACAAAACATCAGACGCTTCATAAAGGCACAGAGAGTGAGATGGATGGGAAGAGGATGACAAAGATGATCCTAAAACGGAGACCAATCACGAAAAGAAAGAATGTACGACCCAGTTGAAGATGATTTAATAGTATACAGAAAGGTTCTCACAAAAAAGAGGGAAGAAAAAGCAACAAACAGAGAGGAATACACAAGAGTAGTAAGTCATGATTTGACAAGAAGCCACCCTACTTGATACAAGTTTTCTGATATATAAGTATTATATTAATTGTATTTTAGCCCTAGGCTTTTTGGCCTGTTGGGCTTTATAAATAAAAGAAACTCAAATAATAATAAAACTAATTTAGAAACGGTTTCTGATAATGAGTGGCACTTATATCATAAAAACTTGCTCACAGACAATGGCTGCAATCGACCTTTGTGGCAATTCCCAAAAAGCCAAGTACAACAACTTGCTCAGATCACAGAACAATAGCTTTAATGAGTTACAAACTTAAAACATTTTTGAAAATAATTCACAGCAGAATTGTTAAAACTTTAGAATATGAAATTAGTGACACACAATTTGGATTTAAAAATGGTATGAGTACAAGAGATTCTTTGTTCGGCTTGAATGTGCTGGCTCAGAGATGCAATGGCATGAATCGAGACATGTACTTATGTTTTGTATACTTTGAAAAGGTATTTGATAAGTTTCAACATAAAAAGCTTGTAGATATATTAAAAAGCAAAAATATTGACAGTCGTGATATGAAAATTATATCTAATTTATATTGGAATCAAACTGCCAAGGTAAGAGTTGACAGCCAGTACACCCAAAATATCAAAATACAGAGAGGAGTCCGCCAGGGTTGCGTGCTGTCCCCACTACTTTTCAATGTCTACAGTGGTATTTCAAGAAGCGCTCTCAGACTCAATAAAAGGTATATCTATCAATGGAGAAGTTTTGAATAACTTACGTTTTGCAGACGATACAGTAATAATGACGGATAACAACAATGATTTACACAACTTAATGCAACGCCTTAATAAACGCTGCCATGAGTACGCACTGAAGATAAATTTATAGAAAACTAAATGCATGATCATGACTAAATCTGCACATGCAAATATTCAATTGACTATTGAAGATACTGCAATTGAGAGTGTTAATAACTATAAATACTTAGGAACATGGATAACATCAGATGTAGACGAAACCAAAGAAATTAAGACACGTATTGAAATGACACGTGCATCATTCATTAAACTTAAAAAGTTTCTTTGTTGTCGGGATATAAGGTTAGAACTACGCCTGAGAATTAGGGCAAAAATACGCATTATTACAACTTATTATGCAAGGCAAAATCCGAGGAAAGCGAAATGGGGGAAGACGAAGAATATCCTGGCTTAAGAACTTAAGGGAATGGTTTGAATGCAGTAGTGCAGAACTTTTTAGAGCGGCAGTCAACCTTCCGCAGTCCGCATACCTTCGATAGAAGATGCAACTTAAAGAAGAAAAAGAATTATGTTATTGTTATTAATTATTGTAACCTAACTTAAAAAATTAAGGTACAACAAACTACAGCACTCTTGCGAAATCAATTCACCATACAAGTTGTGTACTATAACTTCTGTACCAAGCAATTCAAACACTGTACAATTCAAGTTTTTAAATGCTTAGGGACAGCAGAATTGGATAATTAGGATTTAACTATTAAAATATCTGTATTATAACCAAGTAGCATGTGTCAAAATCAAAGACGGCTATACTGCAAAACTGCCCATATAACGTGGAGTACCACAAGACTAAGTATTATCGCCAAATCTTTTTAATTTATAATTCGAGGAAATATTCAGGAACTCCTTGGATGGCACACCAAAGAAAATAAAATAAATGCTAGATTTGCTAATGATACAGTCATTCTTACAGAAGGTGTAGAAGACTTTTAAACACCGTTAAACTTGATAAATGAAGCAAGCTAAAATAAAGCTCTCAAAATTAATGCTGGGAAAACAAAGTAGATGGCACTTGACAAAATAAGTATAGCTCAACAGCAAATTTGGATTCATGAAGAAAAAGTAGAACGTGTCATTTATTTTAAATATCTAGGCAGCTGGTTAGTTGCACACAAATGTAGACTCTGATAAGAAGATAATAACAGGAATTAGGCTACTATTAGATGTCTTCATGACATGAAAACTAGTTCTGTGTACTAGAAATCTGTCACTAAATCCTCAAAAAAATGGTTTTGAGTGTTATGTTTGCTCGATCCTATTTTATGGTTGCGAGACATAGACTCTAAAAGCAACAACGTTGAACGAATTTGAATCGTTTGAAATGTGCTGTTACCGTTGGGTTTTAAGATTATTATGGTTCTCGCACACTTCCAATGAGAGTGTTCTCAGAAAGATGGACACTGAACGCCAGCTGCTGAACGCCATAAGGAGAAGAAAATCGGATTATTTTTGACACATAATTAAAGGACTCAAATAACAACTACCTCTCCTTCTTATACAAGAAAAAGTGAATGGCAAAAAATGGATAGAACGTAAAAAGCTCTCAATATTAGACAGTGGTGCGATATGACAACTGAGGGACTATTTCGCACAGCAACTAATAAGGTAACATTCCATGAACCTATAAACCTATTCTTATAAATATTCTTTTTTATTTATCTACAAACTTGTAATGGATGTATAGCTCCGTAGCTTATTTAAGTTGATAGAAAAGAGTCCCTGGGATATTGAGGTTATCACTGTATGGTGGCACATTTTAAATTAAATTTAATACTAGCTATATTATGGGATCCACAATTTCATTATGAAATTCTGAGTAATATTGAGCACAAAGCTATGAAGCACAAAGTTGTGGATATATAGGTACTTAGATATAATCAGTTAAAAAGAGACGAATATATGATCGAAATATTTCGTAAATAATTATATTAATAATTGTTGCTTCCAAGTAGATATAGGGGTTAAGGCGGCTGCGAAATTGCGGAGGAAATGGCTGAACATATTGTATGAAGTTGAAGGGTATTATTCACTAAAGCCATAAATTCTAGGAAGTGATCTTTTTGAAATTTGATCAAGTCGCAAAGGTAATTTTGAAACAAATAACAGGCTTTTTTTAGAAGTCTAAATCTTTTGGACTAAAACAAGTTAAAATTATTCATCTGTACACAAAAGGTTTTTTATGTTGCAGTCTGCAAAGGTCTAAGAGGCCAATCGACTCCTTCAAAAAGTGCAGCATGGATTACGATTAAGAGATTAATTAACATTACTGTTCCTAAATAAGTTAAGAGTATTTTTAAGATTAAAATAATAATAAGGCCAAACTATAGTTTTTTAACGGTTATTGGAAAAAAATACTTGAATTATTATTAGTTGTAATAACGTTATACAAAAATATAGAGGGAATATTAAAAAAACATAGAAACTGGGCAGTTTCAAATAAAAAATATATTATGTCTATCAAGGACCGATATAGGAAACTTTCATAATCAATTTTGAAAACTGTCGATTGATCAATTACAAAATTAAAATATTGAAGAAAAACACTTTTAATACTGCGCGCAATTGCCACACACATGATCAATAAAATATAACTAAACAACTCACCAGCTTAATCATATTATTTGTTACTTAAAGATCTTTGGTGAAGAAGATATCACACAATATGAAATTTGAGAAGATCCCGCGGTTTATATACTAGATTCAAATTACATCAAAACAATAATTCACAAGAAGACGTTTTAAGTGGTAGACCAACGCCAGCACAGGGTCGGCCGCATCATTTTAAATTCAAATTGAGATAATTAGAGACGGTACACATACCCACACATGGTCTTCTTCATTATAATCCGGATTTAATAGTATTTCCTAAATATATTTTATCAGATAAGCTGCTTTAGAACAGATTATGATATTTTTAGATTTGAAATAGATGCAAAGTTGATAGTTTGTGTATTAACAATACATTTCCTTAAGTATTTTTTGGATAAACTATCGTTGTAAACTCTAAAATAAACTTTTCACCAACGTTTTACTCTAAAATAATGAGAAGTCCTTGTTGATTCATTTGGGAAAACATAACTAGGTTTGGGTGGGTTGGAGTCAATAAAAAGGGCTGTTTTTATTGGGGTAAAGAAAGGCTAGAGAAGGCACTTTTCTCGCCTAGTGACCTATCAAGGCATTGATTTATATAAGACACAACAACACTAGGTCACGGAGAGGAGGAAGTTATACAAATGGTTTAAACCAAAGGTAGATTAACTAAATAATTTTTAGAGAATTATAATGATAATTTGCTGTCTTTTAAAATTTAATTAAAGAGTTGTAAATATCTAGAGAGCCAAGATAATAAATGTAGTATATTCCAAGGAGCTGCTATTTTATATTTTAATAAATCATTTATAAGTTTGGATGAGTAGACTCTGTTTTTAGAACAACCAAACAATATATGATCTAAATAACTTTCCTCTCGACAATGTTCACATTTATCATCATCCAAAACCTTTATTTTAAATAAGCGCTTAGGATAACATGCGTGTCCGAAACGTATTCTAATAATGGAAGTTATGTGCCTTCTTGAAGCTTCAAAAGACTTGTACCAAAAAAATTTGGGAATATCTAGCTGAATTGTCGAGTATCTATTTTGATTCACACAAGAGTATTCCTTCCACTGGTAGCTCCACACTCGAAGTAATGTTGACTTGCAAGAAACAATACTGTCAGAAAGCGTTACAACAATACTGTCAGAAAGAGCTGTTAGAAAACTATTTTTAATTACTCGAGCATTTAATTGTGGTTATTTAATGGTTATATAATGGTAAACCCTATTAAAGCTGGTAATGGGATAAGACAGGAAGATTCCCATAGTCCTCTATTGTTCAACTTGATTATGGACGAAATAATAAAAAAGTAAGAACTAAAAAATGATACCAAATGGGAGAAAAATATCTTAAAATAATCTGCTATGCAGACGATGCAATACTATTCTTTCAAAGTTAAGATGATTTACAACGTATTCTGTTCCAATTTAATATAACTGCCAGAAAATTTAACACGTTAATTTCCCCAAAAAAGAGTACGACAGCAAATTTACTAAGATGTAAATTAGACCTGGAAGGTCAGACAAGTGATGGAGTTTAAATATCTAGGCATTACATTATCTAGCTACGGAAAGTTCGAAACCGAAGTGGAAGATCAAGTGAATAGAGCAAACAGAGCTGCAGGCTGCCTAAATGAAACAATATGAAGAAATAAAAATATCGAGAAAGAAACGAAAGGCAGAATTTACAAAACAGTCATCAGACCAATAATGACATACGCAGCAGAAATAAGACCTGACACAAACAGGACAATAAGGATGTTAGAAACAGCAGAGATAAAAACACTTAGAAAAATTGATGGTAAGACACTATTACAGAACAAAGCTAGAAGTACAGATGTACATACGACGTAGATGCAAGATGGAGAACATCAAGAACTGGGTAAGAAATAGAAGAGTAAAATGGAACGATCATATAAGCCGAATGACAACAAATAGAGTAGTAAAGACGGCAAGAGACGGTTCCTCAATAGAAAGACGATCATTAGGAAGACCACGAAAACGATGAAATGGCAACTTACTGGAGATACATTGAAAAAACTGACAGAGTCATCTCTATATAAAAAGAAGAAGAAGACGATTTGTCTTTTGACGATTATGTTAATTCTATTATACTCACTTTTATATTTTTGTTATCTTTTTCCTTCCACCAGCGGAACTTCATTATTGATTCCATATGTTTCTTTTTATTTATTTGTTTCCTCCAGGATTTCTAATGTAGTCTCTTTATTTGTGTTTCTGGTATTTGTTTATATCTCATTTATAGCACAGGTTTACATAAGGCCGTATATATTACAACATGGATACAAAACCAAAATTAATAGACACATATATAAGATAATATCCGAATTCTCATTTTCAACAAAACCGAAAATGACAGATTTCCGTTACCATGCATAGAGGAAATTCTGGACGCTCTATCAGGAGTGACATACTCTTCACACTTTACTTTTTATTAAGGATATTATTACACGGAACTTGACTCAGAATCAAGACCCTTCACAGCATTCATAGTAAATAGGAGTACATATCAAAGAACACCCTTTTCAAGAGCTATGCCAATGGCGATGTCTGGATTGAATTAGGAAAATATGCTTTTATGTTAAATTTATATGCCTTAATTGTATTTGGAAAATTTGGAACAATATTACCAAAACTTAGTGAACTTATTACATTGACTATGTAGTGAACGGCTAAGAAAAGCTAATTTGAAATATAACACAACGCCAAAGTACGCTAACCAAACAATATTTATTATAATAATTACTATAGAAAATATATCAGTTTTCAAAAAAAGCTGCATTGTTAAGTAAATTATCCATGAATAATGAAGAATTCGAATGTATATGACACACTGAAAATGTTATCATCAAACTCATCAGTCATGGGACTTCCATATTTATCTCAAAAATTTCCGGAAATACTGCTATAAATACCTACTTCAAAAATATATTAATTCAAACTTTATGGTTTAGAAGTTAGGATAGGGGCGATTTCTGACTCACACTGCGATTCTGTCGTTTTGTGCATAATATTAAATCATAAAAATATCGTGAAAATTTATTTATCATAACTCTCCTTCTTTCTTTTTCTCTCACTCTCTCTCTCCCTCTCTCTCTCTCTCTCTCTCTCTCTCTCTCTCTCTCTCTTCAGTTCTGACCCCCGGAAGGAGTGTAGTGGTCATTATGACGTGTATTGCTAGTTTCAAAGATCTCTGTCCCTAGTCATTTCTTTTAAATGATGCGTAGCTCTTTTGCATATTCCTGTTAGTTGTTCTATCCATCTTGCTAGGGAACTTCATCGTAATCTTAGACCTTCTACCTTTCCTTAGATAATAAGTATTTCCATCTTTGCTGTGTCTGCTCTCATAACATGCCCAAAGTATTTTAATTGTTGGAGATGGATTTGCTGGAAAGCTGTTTGCTGACCTATAGCTCATTTAAAATTGAATAATTTGTTCTGTGGTCGGTCTATAAAATTCGTAATATTCTTCTCGAATGAAACATTTCAGTGGCTTCCATTTTTCTTCTTTTCGCTTGTCACAAGATCAAAGGTTAACGTCTGTATGTCAGTATTGAGAATATTAAGCAGTTCATTATTTATCATATCACATTATTGGGATTACGAATTGTCGGTCTTTTAAAATATAAATTCGATGTTCCTCAAATTGTTCTAGCGCATCATTAATAATAATTTTTTATAATTTAATATAAATAAAAACATTGAAACTTAAAGACAGAAATTTTTAGATAAATGACCACCTGAGAGAAAACTCGGTAAAAACCATTTTTATTTAAACAACTAATATTTTTATTGAATTTTAATTGATTATGAGATTCTAATGCAGCATTTGGTATGCTATTAAAAACCTACAAGTAAATGAAGAAAACACAACTCTATATCCACATAAACAAATGGTAAGTAAGATATATCTGTTTTTCATTCGCAGTTAACTCCTTAAAAGGCACTTTCAGGACTACATTAAATTTGGTCAAGTTCAGATATTGTAAAAGCAAAAAGAATAATTCGATTCCTCCACACGGAAGTTTAAACGTTGGAGGAATAATTATTAAAATTGTGTGTGTGTGTTCAAATACCTACGCTCTTGCATATTTTCTAACCATCTTTGTAAATCTGTTTGTAATTATTGCTAAATTGAGATAACATTGATTTTATCAGATTATGCTCATTAGACAAATTAAAATTTCTAAGGTATAAGGTATTAATATAGAAGTAATATATGCGAAATGTTTGTGTCTTAATCTCTAAGAGACGAAAAAGACATGATATGATATAACGGAAATACTTCCTTTGACAAAAGATGACGATCTACGAAGATTTTAAAAATATTTGAAGACCACAGAGAATGAACTTGATAAGTCCAATTTTAGACATTTTTCGTTTTTAATACCACTTTGAACTTTTAATTACATAGTTTCTAAGAGTCGCAAATCAGAGTAATAAAAGTCAAGTGTTTAAAAAAACCCTGTACAGGAAAAGAACTTGACATGTACATTCCAAACAGGGGAAAACGTTGATAAGTCCAGGTAATTCTAGTAGTTGGCAATAATGACATGCGACATGAAAACTGGAATTATACCGTAAAATGTTTTTTATAGCAATGTTTTATTTGAAACTTTTTGTAATAAAATATATTTGCCCTATTTCTGTTTTATTTTTTTTTTTTTTCAAAAAATCGAAAACCAATGATTTTATATGGAAATAACGTGATAAGTCCTTTTTTATAGGGGAAAAACTTGTTAAGTCCATGTAGATGAAAAAAAAAACAATTAATACCATTAATATGTAGTATAAATTAAAATAAAAACTAAAATGTAAACCAACAATCAATATAGCAAAGTTTTATCATGTTATTACTGATTAATTGTAAGATGTACTTCAACATAATCACAGAGTTTTAAACTTAAAAAATGTTCTGAACAAAACCAAAAATATGACTTATCAAGTTTTTTTCCTTTGGTCTTCATTTGTAAAATTACAATACCTGAAGAAGAGTCGACCATGTTTGGCACAATGAATTCGAATGAAAATTATC